TGCCTCATATGCTCCTTTCTTCTTTCTGTTTATCTTCCCACATCTTCATTCCATTCAGCCATTGTCAATCTTTACACGTACACTCCATAGTACCCATCACCAATCAGAGCGGTTCCCTGCCCGCATTTTGTCTCAATGCAGAATTGAACCTCTCACATGGTATGTGTACCACAACATCATCCGGTGTATCAAAAGTCAAAATACACTCTCACAAGTGTGTGTACAATGCTGGTCTATGAATGCATCAGAACAATCACCGGAAGCAAACCTGGCTGATGTCCTCACAGAGTGTGAAGAGATCATAGCTTGTAATCTACAGGTGATGATGTCATCATATGCACACAATACTTGGGATACTGCTAAACATGACAATACGATTCTTTATCTAGACCGGCTCGTGTCGTACACTTAAACAAAATCCGCTAGTTCCCTTCAATGACATCAATGACATCAACTGCATAACCTTCATAAAATTTCCCCGATCAAGCGGATGTATTTAATGGTGGTTTAGCGTGTGCGCTAAGCCCTGTTAACGAACGTGGAACATCTACCACTCATACTTAGTCTGATGATCATGCATCTCATTATGTCATTGCTATACATGCGCATGCGCAGCGCGCGCCACTCTCCCACGCGTGCTTTCCAAATCTTGCTTTAGAGAGAGAGAAAGAGAAAAGAGAGACTCCTTTGTCACTTTTGCCTTCTGACGACTTGACTGTTCACTGGTTTGTCCGTCAGTTGTCAATTACCCGTCCTGCATACGGGCCCATGTCTGTCTGTCATGCCGCGGCAAACACCCAAAGAAGACTTGCACCCGAGCGGCCTCTCAGTCTTCCCAGTGACGTCGTCACTCCAGTCAACGTTCCTCGGCTAGCTGCACTGCTAGCTGCTCACCCTGATGCCCTGTTTCGTGATTATGTATGTGCTGGCATGTGTAACGGTTTCTCGATTGGTCACACCACTCCTCTGGTATCATGCATTCAATCTGTCAATCATCCGTCTAGTCTCTGCAATAAACAATTTGTCACCCTGTACCTACAGTCTTGTTGCGATGCTGGGGAAACAGCTGGTCCGTTTGCTGAGCCGCCATATCAGCTGTTTCAAACCTCGGGTTTGGGCCTGATCCCAAAATCCAATGGCGAATTTCGCCTCATCCATGACCTATCCTCCTCCACTGGCTGCAGTGTCAATGATGGTATTTCCCGGGAGTCATTCAGCTTGGAGTATGACACTGTCGATTCGGCTATCTCCTATATCATGAAGTTAGGCCGTGGTTGCTACCGGACCAAAGTGGACATTCGAAACGCTTTCCGATTATGCCCTGTTGCCCCCTCTGACTGGCACTTGTTGGGTATCTCTTGGGATGGTCGTTACTATTTCGAAAAAGTCCTCCCGTTCGGCCTTCGGTCAGCTCCGTACATATTTGACAAGTTTGCATCTGCCCTTCATTGGGTTCTGGAGGACACATGCCGCCTTCCCCATCTCATTCATTATCTGGATGACTTCCTGAATGTATCGCCTCCCAGTCCTCCTCTTGCCCAGCACCAGAAGTCACTACTGCTCGACCTGTTTGCATATTTACAGGTCCCAGTTGCACCTGAGAAGGTTGATGGCCCCTCTACCGTTCTCACCTTCCTGGGCTTAGAGCTGGACACAATGGCTCTGGAGATACGCCTTCCACCCTCAAAGCTGACTAAGCTATCTACCACTGTGTCGGCCCTCGTCCAATCCGGCCGGGTTCAGAAACGCGACCTCGCCTCCGTATTGGGCAAACTCTCGTTCGCGTCCAGAGCTGTACCAGCTGGTCGCACATTCCTGAGACGCCTGTACGACCTGGACAGAGCAACTTGATCAACACCATTGCACCAATGGCTACGCATTTCGGCATCGGCAATGGCAGACTTGTTGTGGTGGGCAGAGGCCCTGACCATATGGAATGGGAAGTCATTCTTCCTGGTGGATGAGTGGACGCCAGCCCCCGACATGCAACTACAGACTGATGCCAGCGGCACTCACGGTTATGGTGCCTTCTACAACGGCCGGTGGCTGAGAGGAGAGTGGACAGGCCAGAACGAGAACGAGAACATTGAGTTCAAAGAAATGTATGCTATCATAGTTGCCTGCGCGACCTGGGGTTCGGAGTGGAGCAGGTGACGCATTCAGTTTCAGTGTGATAACAAGGCCGTGGCGGACTGTATACGCCGTTCACCGCCAGTCATGACACTTATCCGGGCATTGTATCTGCTGTGTATTGAGCATGACTTCTTGGTGTCAGCTGTCCACAATCCTGGTGTCACTAACACTGTCGCCGATGCATTGTCTCGCAATTTGCTGCAGGTATTCAGGCACCAGGCCCCGGAAGCAGCAGCCGAGCCAGATGAGCCAGTCTTGCCAACTGTCCGTTGACAGACTCCGTGCTACAGCTAGCAGCACTGGCAATAGCACCATCCTCCCGCCGGACGTATTCTACCGCCGAGACCCGCTACTTCCAGTTCTGCCAAGTGCATGCCTGCAACCCATTGCCGGGAGACGACTTTACTTTGTGCTATTTTGCTGCCGAGTTGTTCAGGACTCTTCAGCCTCGATCTGTCCGTGTCTACATGTCGGCAATCCGCAACCTTCAAGTGGAACTTGGCTTTGCTTACCCGTCGGGCCCAACAACTCCCAACAACTCTCCTCGCTAGGGTCCTGCGGGGCATCGACAGGTCGTCATCGACACAGCGTCATCGTCTGCCGATAACCACTCCACTTCTCAGGGAGATCTGCCGGCATGTTGCCGTTCCACGCATGCGGCACCCTCACGACAAGGCCATGCTAAGGGCAGCTTTTTCCTTGGCGTTTCATGGGTTCTTCCGTTGTGGAGAACTGACTGCTGGCCTGAGGCGATGTGATGTGACGATCAGTACTGACCAGCGGTCGTTATCGGTAAACGTGCGCTCATCTAAGACGGACCCCGACAGCACGGGCCACACAGTATTGGTTGGAGCCAGCACGGACACACCGATCTACCCAGTGCAGGCCATGGCAAACTACCTGGCGTTTCGCCCCGGCGGCGACCATCTGTTCACTTATGCTAATGGCCAGCCGCTTACAAAAAATGCAGTGTCCTCTGAACTGCGCAACCTGCTGCCACTCTGTGGGGTCACGGACCCGAGTGCTTATGCCAGTCACTCTTTCCGGATTGGCGCCGCAACATCAGCGGCCATGGCAGGTGTCCCCGAACACATCATCCGTATCATGGGTAGATGGCGCAGTGATGCGGTCCACCGCTACATCCGGGCTGCTACAGCTGACACCCTGCGAGTGTCACGTCAATTAGCTGCAGTTCAAAGTCATCAATGGTAGCTGCGGGTTAGTGACCACATCGTGCCTGAACTGCTTAGCTTTAGCTTTACATTGCTGCTGTCAGTACAGCACAATACACCAATCGTATTTCATTATTACTCTCATGCTATATTTGGGATATTGGGAACGGGCAGTCTATCTCCGCAGCTGGCTCATTTCAATCACTACCGGTCGCAGCTCCTGCCCACGGCAGGCCGACCGTCTCTCGTTCACACTCTGTGTGCTCCAGGTCACAGCTCCTGCGCAGAGCAGGCCGACCTGTCTGTCTCTCTCTCACACACACTATGTGTGCACCGGGTCACAGCTCCTGCGCAGAGCAGGCCGACCTGTCTTTCTCATGCACGCCAGCTGCTCCGCCCAATATCCCTGATATGCCAACCAGAAAACAATGTGTTCCGAGTCGGGTGCATGCCTGTATGTGGAGAGTGCGTTAAAACTATGTTACACACCTCATTTCGACTAGAACACCACACCAGTCACATTTTACAAACATTTCACTTTCCACCCGGCAGGTATTGTTCCCATGCTGAAACCTGTCGAAATGGCTATGTTGAACAGATCCCTGCCCAGATCTGGCATGGAATGTGGGAAAACGTTACACGGTGGGTAATACCGTACTCAAAATTTGCTCTCATCAACCAGCAAACGGAGAACCAATTTACTGCGTCAATAGTGCTTACAACATTATTCCCTCTCGGAAATGACCACCACTAGAAGTTAAAATAACTCCGCAGGAAAGACATCTGCCAGATGCAAACACAAAGTACAGTGAAAAGTGCATCAACTTACAGTACCTGCTTAGTGTGATTCATCCCGACTTTGTATTGTTTCCCTGTTTACGCATCTCACCTATCAGCACAGTCCAGGGAGAGATTGTTTACCTTGTTCCGTAGAGCTGTACGAGTTACCTGCGGTGCTTCATATCATGCTGCTGTACCACCCCTTCTTGCTTCTCTTCAAATAAAACACCTTGAATACCGATACATTTATCAATTTCTTACGTTTACGTTTATTTGTCATATTGTTCAGCCTGCATCATGCTTACGCAGTCTTTTCCCTTTGCCCACCTCTAAGCGGTCAACTCGTGGAACTACAACAAACAATATGTCAATTTGCTTGTATAAATCCATGGTAGGGTACAATTCATTTTCCTCCAGGGCATCCCTTATGTGGAATGCCCTCCCTGCTCACTTGAAAGGAAGTGAGGACATTAGATCATT